AAAAAATAAGACAAAGAAGCCCGAAAGACTCGAAAAACTGAAACTCACCTTTTTCAATATATCCTTCTGATTCATCTTTAGCTTCCATGCTCTAGTTGCACCTATGGAGGCTAGGAAAGGTGGCAATGGTGGCTTGGGGCTTCCAGATGTTTTCCGTGGTTCCGACACTATCAGTGGACCTGGGATCTGTGCTTCTTGCTCTTCTTTTTGAGTGCTTTCGGTGCCACTGCCAGTGATAGCGGTATCATTAGATTCTTTTTGATCCTCTCCCCGATCGCTCTTCGATGCTAAGTCCGCTCCAGCCTCAGGCTCACCTTCCACCCTGGTGGGAGTGTGAACTTCCTCCACTTGTTCCGCTCCAGGCGCTTCCGATATCTTCACTTCCGCTTTTGGAGTTTCTTCTTGTGTTCGTGGAATCTCCTGTTCCGCTCCTGTTCTCCTTTCCACTTTTTTCTCGTCCGCTTCCGGAGCTATCTTTTCCGTGTCTGAAACCTTCTCTTCCCCTTCTGGAGAGCCTTCTTTATCTTTTGCTTCAGAGCTAGCATCTGTCTCCTCGGCTTTATGTTTTTCCACAACCTCTTTGTCTTGTTCAACTGTATCCACGACTTTTTTGTCCGCGTGAAGATCATCTGGACTAGCTGGAAGAAAAAAACAAATTTGATCCATCAAAAAGAACGCTTGATAGCTTACTCTTGTTTTCTAAGAAAGACTCGTCAATCTCATATTCGATATCTTCAGATCCAGGTACTTCCTTTCGTTTTTTCAAATTTTCAAAAAAGGCAGGATCTTCGCGAATCTCCTTCAATCCTGCCAGAAACTCGGGCAATGTTTCCTTGAACAAGAAATCCTAAGGCGACGAAAGGATGGTGATATCAGATAAGAGAAAGACTCACTTTTCGTGAATCATGGGACTCCACGGTTTCGCGATGGTCCAGTATGGATAGCAAATCAAACTGATCCTCCCAATTTTGTACAGCCTCTCTTTCAGCTTGTCGCTGCGCCGAACAACAATGTACAATTCCGGGGTCAATAGGATGAGCTTCAGTATTGAATATGAAGCCGCCAGCTAAAACTATCATCTTGAAAAGTGTTTGTGAACTCAAAATTTTTTTTTAATTTCGCAATTTTCACATTTCCGAGGTCTGTTATGAATAATATAATGTTATAGCCAGGCAAATTGTCATAGAATGTAAGAAAAACACAAATGTTAGAAACAAATCACTGACAATAACAGGATTTGAAATTTGAACTAGAAAATGAACCCACCATCAATAACACACTCCCCATTGGGAGTGTCCACTATTCGAGCATCGATACCATCATTATGAAGAAAATTATTGGGGTCAAACAATAAATACAGATATTTCGTAGTTTCCGCAAGGAAAAATGATTCCATTCTAGATAAAACCTTTACTCAATGTCCATCATCAAGTTTGAAAAACTTACCTGTCTTCAATGGAATGGTCATTCACATTGTTGATAGTCGCATAGCCACAAGGAGTTTTTGCACTATGTTCGATAGCCTAAATGCATGAACTGGAATGTCACAAGTGGTGGAGGCGCAATGGGCGGGACAAGACAAAAATGGGCGTGGCGTCGGAGATTCTATCCTCACAATTCACGCATGATTTGCAAAACTTCTTCGAGCGTACGAAAATGAAAAGATTGTGCTCCTGTATTACTCAGATGATGAAAGCCTTCTGCACTACATTTTCCCGTTTCCCCTTCAATCTCCGCTCCTCCGCCCCCTCCAATTTACGAAATGAAAACACGCAAAAACTCCTTAACTACTCCATTTGGTGAGAAAACTATAGAAAATTCTTGTCGTAGATGTCAGTAAACTCACATCCACCAGTTGAGCTCCGAGCTCCAGATAATGTGGATCTTGCGTAGCTCTATAGAGGTACATCAAACTCTCCGCCACCTCAGGTCGCAGTGGGAAGGCTGTACGTTTTTCTGACTAAAAACAATAAGTAAGAACGAACCATTTGGCTGATACTATTACAAACGTACCACTGAATTTTGGATATTGTAAAACTCGGGTGGGAAACCGTACTGTCGAACAACTTGAGAATACTGTAGCATGATTCTCGCAGCATCCTCGACTTCTCCAATCATAGTCTGAAGATAACTGATAAGAAAGGCAGATGCTAGAACTAGCTGCGAGTAAACATACCAATAATCCGGGGTAGAAGGCCTCTAGCGACTGGAAGATAGGCAAAGAAACACTAGCTTTGTGCATATTCACCCATAGAAACCAATCTCCTTTGCGAACATAACGGTTGATGGCAGCTTGGTACTCTGGGAAAGGTGAACAGTATAGATTTAGATGAGAATATACCCATCACTTTTCTTGTTGAGATCTTATATATAAAGCTGCATGTCTGTTTGTCTGTCTGTCTGTCTGTATGTCTGTCTGT